TAACAATGTCATGTTCTACCTGGAAAGAACCAATCAAATATACGCTAAAATTATTCTACAACTTTTATAGATTTGAAATTGAAAGTTTCAAAGGACTCTTACATTATCAGTTATAGTATATATATATATACACATCAAACAAGATAATGATAAGCAAATGCATAAAAAACGAGTTTCTTGATTGATTTTGAACCGATCGAGCTTTTCACCAATTGAAGTCTTTAGTCTAAGAAAACTATGTTTTATATCAAACTTTTTTAAGTTCGACAGGAATTGCGAATCTTAAACTAATTTTTCATCCGAATTCACTCTCAGAATCTTTGCTATTAAACCTTTTTGAGATCTGTAGGACGAAGAAGAGTTCGGTATCCAACATAGAAAGCCATTCAAGTATAAAATGAAACTTTCTAGGTTTTGCGTTATATCCTAAAGGGTTGATATCGAACTTAAATGATTTCGTATTTTGAATACTAAAACATTTTTTATTCTATAAAGACTCTAAGAGTGTATCAGGTAAAGAAACATTTTAAATTTCGTAGTTCTTGTCGAACTTTAAAAAAAGTTCGGTATTAAAACGATTTTTTTTAGACAATAGAATGTTAACAATGTGTCGAAATATTCTTATGAATATGAAAAAGACACAACATGATGTTAAAACTTTAATTCCCTCTACTGAAAGGAGGGTCATACACCGAGTTAGGTTCGTATGTTCGTAACTTCGTTCGTTCGTTCGCACAGAACGAAAAAATGTTTTTTTGGCCTCTCATTTCACTCATTTTGCAACAAAAGCCTAATAAGGTTATTTTTGGTCGGGATTTCGACCAATAGAGTTTTTTGACATTGCAGTTTCAACCAATAGAATTTCAGGGAGGGAAGCAGATCAGCCAATCAGATTTCTTTACCGGGTAATTTGGCCCAGTAAGATTATTTTTGGTCGGGATTTCGACGAATAAAATTTTTTGACATTGCGGTTTCAACCAATACGATTTGGGGTGGGGGAAAATCAGCGAATCAGATTTCTCTGCTCTGTAATTCGGCCCAGTAAGGTTATTTTTGGTTGAGATTTCGACCGATAGGGTTTTTTGACATTGCGGCTTCAACCAATGCGATTTCGGAGGGGAGGGGGCAAATTAGCCAATCAGATTTTGAGAGTGGCCATTTGGACCAATCCTAGGTTTTCATAGTTTGGCTATGCACCAATGAGATTTCGAGAGTGACCATTTGGGCCAATCATAGGTTTTCACAGGTTGGCTATCCGCCAATGAGATTTTGAGAGTGGCCATTTGCACCAATCATAGGTTTTCACTGGTTGGCTGTGCACCAATTAGATTTTCAGAGCGGCTATTTGAACTAATCACGAGCTTTCACGGTTTGTCCAAGCACGAATGAGATTTCGAGGGTGACCAATTAAATGTATCATAGCTTTTTTTTTAATTTGGCTATGCGCTAATGATATTTTGTGAGTTAAGGTTCGGACCATGGATGGGTTTTCAAGTTTGTGTGGGCGTGGATGTAGGTGTGTGCATGTGGGTGTTGGTGTGGGCGTGGATGAGGATGAGGCTGAGAGTGGGAATATGGGTTTGATAGGGTGTGGGTGTGGGGAGTGTGGGAGTGAGTTGAGTTGGGATGTGAGTTTGGGAGTGGGTGTTGGTGTTCGGTGCGTTTGGATGGGTTGGAGTGTGGGTGGGTGTGGGTGTGGGTGTGTATTTGGATTTGGAATTGAATGAAACATTCTTATGCATATCGACACCGACACTCACACTGGATCCTGCACCCATACACTGAAAAAAAAGGTGTAGTACCCAACCAAAAAAGGTATCGTAGACGAATAAAAGGTTTCGTACATAGTACGGAACTTAAAAAGGTTTAGAATTCGTTTCAAGTTTCGGAACTATTTTAGGTTCGGTACTACACCTTTTTTTTCCAGTGTAGGCACTGTGTTTGTGTTTGAAACTGACAGTTTAGATTTGAGTATGGTTGGAGTACCTGTTGGGGCAGTATTCTTGGGTATTTTGTGTGAGTTTTAGTGATGTGTGGTAGTTAATGCTACTATACAAGTAACGCGACGCAAACGCCGCTAACCCTCTACTGAAAGGATGCGATTTCCTTGAAGATATGGTACTCACGAAGAAGGTCACAGAACTAATGTGCTGCTATGCATCTATAAAAAGATAAATAGTTCTCGTCACCATGGCTCGCTTGCTAATTGATTGGATTTGATTTAACCATCGTGGGGTATGGGTGGGTGGGTGGGTGTGGGATATGTCTGAGTATGGATGAAGTGAAGACATACGCCCACACCCACACCCCACACCCCGCACCCACACTCTACATCCACACCCCACACCCACTCTTCACATTCACACCCCACGATGGTTAAATCAAATCCAATCAATTAGCAAGCGGGCCACGGTGACGAGAACTATTTATCTTTTTATAGATGCATAGCAGCACACTAGTTCAGTGGTCTTCTTCTTCGTCAGTGCCATATGTTCAAGGAAATCACATCCTTTCAGTAGAGGGTTAGCGACGTTTGCGTGGCGTTACTTGTAGCTTATACAATGAAGATGTGCTAAGATCATCCTCAAAATAATCTCAATCATATATCACATCCCAATTTTTGATAATATGGATTGCTTTGAATGATAAAAGGTCGATATTTTCTAAACCAGCAATATATCACAAAGTATTTTATACGAAATTAATCTTCATCAAAAACTGGATTTATAAGTGTAATTAGAGGAATTATTGCCTACGAAATTATTGAAATGTCTTGAACTGCATGTCAAAATGCACTCGTACTTTATGATTTTCATTCTTAATGTACATATTTTCACAAAAAATAATAGCAGATTTGTAATCTCCGTCAGAAACTAAATCTATAGACATGTCATTTGTATATTTTTGATGAAAAAAGAATTTTTCGAAAAAATCCTGGGAAACATTCAAGACAGAAAAATTCCAAAACTTTTTTTGAACTGAAATATCATGATTTATATATATCAATCAACGCAGTTTTTCATGAAAATTACGAATTTGATATTATTCTTGTTGAAAAACGCCACAACAACCTGATATTGTAAAATTTATGGTATTTTTATGCCCAAACAGGCTTGTGTCATGCAGTTTTTGCTTTTTTGTTACTCTTCTCAACAAGAATAATATTAAATTTGTAATCTCCATGAAAAACTGCGTTGATTGATATATAAATCACGATATTTCACTTCAAAAAAGTTTTGGAATTTTTCTACCTGGATCCATGTCGTACATTTACTGGAAATACCGTCAGTATACCGTGGTACATGAAGAAATCGTTCGTTCATCGCCAGTATAGCGCACAGTATACCGGACGGTCTATCGACGGTATACCAGTGATTTTTCTCTGGTTCGAATCACATGGGGAATGCTTTCCAGGATTTTTTCGAAAAATTCTTTTTTCATCAAAAATATACAAATGACATGTCTATAGGTTCAGTTTTTGACGGAGATTACAAATCTGCTATTATTTTTTGTGAAAATATGTACATCAAGAATGAAAATCATAAAGTACGAGTGCATTTTGACATGCAATTTAAGACATTTCAATAATTTCTTAGGTAATAATTGCTCTAATTACACTTATAAATCCAGTTTTTGATGAAGATTAATTTCGTATAAAATACTTTGTGATATCATTTATACTTTAAGTTATAGATGGGACATAATGGTTTTGTTACAATCTGTACCATTTTTAATGAGATCTAGATCTTTTCAATAATTTTAGAAAGAAGAAAAATCATCGATCATTCATTGATTTATTTCTATAATTATCAATAATTTTTTGTATTCAAACGATGAATGCAAATTCATTGAACTCAAAATGAATGAACTTCACACCGCACTAAATATAAAAACTAGGTTGTGAGCTGTCGTTCCAACCACACTACTACACCTACACCCACATTATAAATTTTTATATAAGTGAAGTTTTACTTAAGGTGATGAGTATAAATGTCGATTTTGTGAGTCATTAATTGTATGTTTGAGACCATAAATCTTGAGAATTTTCAAAAATCTTGGACATGTCCCAAGACATTATGATATGGGTTCTATAGTGAAAGATCATGATTTTCTCTCCATTTTTAGTCAAAATGTTACCATTTATGACTATCTAGTTCTACATTTATGTTCATCATTCTCCATTTGATGATTTTGACTGATAAATACAGACTAGTATAATCGTTTGTTGCTTAATTTTATCTATAAGATCGTAAATATAGAGTTTTAGAGTCAAAAATGTAGAATGGAAATAAAAAATGGTGACATTTCTCCTCTTGTTGATACATGTTAAATATTTGCAATGGAAAACTGAAGTGTTTGTATGATTAATGATTATCTTTTCTATCAGTAAAAACAATAAACTAATAAAGAGGTAATAATTATCATACAAAAGTGAGAAAAAAAATGGCACAAATATTTAAAGATTTCATTGAAATAGAGTTAATTCTTTGATTCGGTAGTTTATCTAATGTGAACGATCAGAATTTGTGTCATGATTATACTAATTTCGGACTGATAATTATATATTGATTGATTGTGTTTAACTAATACTTCCCCAATAATTATTTGAACGAAACAAAAACAAAATTGTGTGTAAACTATTCTCTGAAGCAAAAACAAACAAGTATAGTTGTTTTTTCTTTTATTCTGATTGGTATATTGAATTAAATTTAGTGATTGATGCTATTTTCTATTTGAATAATTGTTATGTTTTATCAGGAGTCGGTAGTTGATGTATTGGTTTTAATTTCGTCTTGGAATGATTTTGATTATGAATGTAAAAATAAATAAATGAAGAATAAATATTTAAGGAAATCGAGAATCTTTTCTTTCTTTGCAAATAATTTTCATAGGACAACAAACCAAAACTCTCTCTTGAATAATAGAAAGTAATGTACAAAGAAAAGAATCTATTTACATTTAAAAAGAAGAAAAAGAAAAACAAAGAAAAACGGTAAAATTTAGGAAATAATACATATTGTTTTTGATGATTGATCTTTCGATGATAAATTTCCATTTTGTTTTTTATTAAAACCATTCCGAAATGATGAAGAATTTTTTTCATTTGTATGTTTTTCTATTGAATTATCTTCAATTGTATCTTCTGTTGGATCAAGATAATTTATAGCATAAATACTTTTTTCAAATAATTTTTTCACAGCCTATTAATAATTAATTGAAATAAATAATATTGAAATAATTAAATCTTACTTCTAAATTCATAGCTGATGCTTCAGTAAAATGAATATTCCATGCATGAGCTAATAATCGACCTTCTTCAGTTGAAACAACTCTAAAAAATTTTATTATCTATATATTAAAATATTTTATTCTATTTAACTTGTTTTCTTTTACTTTGAGATAATCAAATAAATATAAATAATAATTAATATTATTCAAATTGAAAAGAAAATTTTTTTTTTCTTATTATTCTTTATTAAAAAAATATCTTATTTCACGAACTTAAATCGAAATTTTGACAAGAAATTAATCAAAGAAAAAAAGTATCGAATAAAAATATTTCATCATTTTTTCTCAATCTTTTATCTTATTATTATCAATTTAATAATAGAAGATTTTCATCGTGTTTGGTCAGATTAAACATTTTAATTATTATATTAGACTATTTTTTATGAGTTCATCTCAATATCTGTTTAGAATTTCAATAATTCAAATAAAAAATTGAATTTTTTTTTTAAAAGTGTCTCTATTTTCAAATATATTTGTTTATCTTGTAATTTTGATCTAGCATATGAAATGAGACTATAGAACGAACTAACAGAATTGTTAGACACATCTTAATAATTATAAGTCTATCACAAACAGTTATATCAAAATCAAACAATTCATAATTATATTTCAAGTCAATGTGTCAATATATAAGACATGTTTAACCAAAGGTTAATTCATCCTATACTACTTAATATAGTTTTGGAATTTAATTTTTTTCATTGATGTCTCTTAGTAGGGAAAGCGACAATTGGCCGCACCGACAATAAGTCCCAATGTAGAATTAGTCGCCTGTTTGACAAAAGCATGATTCCTATTTCATTTTCCATAAATCTCAATTTGTAGATATGTGATTCGATCATATAGAACATTTCGCAAAAATCGGTTGGTATGTGAAAAGTAAAGAGTCATTCTATGAAATAAATTCATAGATGATTTCACTGGTTAACGGTAACTGAATGTTGATATTTATATTTGAAATTTATCGAAACATTACGAAAAGATGAAAACTATATTCATTGTCGAATAGTGAAAATCGCAGCAGACATAAAAACTCGAAAATAAGGAAAAAAGAAAAAATTTTAAAAGAAGCTACTACTTACTCTCGTGTAAGGCTTCATGCTCAATTATAAGAGTTCACTATACATCCGCATTTATACTCATATCTAAATATATCTTCATCTTAAATAGATAGTTAGTTATTTTTCTGAAACTCGCTCAGTTATTTCTTTATAATAATAAGACTTTTTTATTTTTGTCGATTTTATTTTTCAGCATTGCGACCTATTTTTCTACACTGTAACTAATTGTCGCTGCGACCAATTGACGTCATCTAATTGTCGTTCGATCAATTGTGTCGTAGACTCCCCGTTAGTGAAATAGAAAAAACAAACAAAATAAGTTTTTTATCCTTGAATAATAGGACGAGAATTTTTTTTCTTATGGAATTATTTCTTTCAATCAATCAGATTTATTTTCTTTCGGATTTATTTATAATCGCTAAATCTCTGCACAAACTCGTGTCGCTTATCGATAAACATACTTATCATAGATAAGCTCGATACCTATAGATCAATCAATTTCAACTTTATCACAATTTCATAATACTATCAGTTATTCTTCATTTTTTCAGACTCTTTAAACGTCAAATAAACTCTTCGATTAATCATATCTTAGTCCTAATCACTGCAATAGTCATATTATAGTCATTTCTACTATTTATTCACATAATTTGTTTCTCTCCTGATATCTATTGGTGAACAGACACTGCATACACCCACTAATTCTATATCAGTATTCACCATTCATAAACTGTTCGCCAAAACACAAACTTTACTAATTAATTCTATATTCAATTTCCTTCTCTTAAAGATCCCGAAATTGTCCATTTTACCTAAAGTCTCCTAGTGAATAGAAGAACTTCACTAGTCAATCAAAAGAACACCAAATTTATACCACACTGATAGTATATCCAACTAAATAGAATAGTCTGATGCATCTTACCTCACTCAAATAATCTTCAGTATCAGTCAAAGGTGTTCAATTTGCGACAAAAAAAAATACGCTTATGCTCAATTTTTTGAAAAAATTCAAAAAAAAACAAACAAATACCGAGAGGTAGAGACAATGTTGCATCTACCGGACTGATTATTTACCGTTATCGGTGGAAATTCTGAAGTTTATGTTATTTGCTTCTGAGATTCTAGTAGAAATACATTCGACGTTAAATAATCTAACTAATATGAAAGTTAAATTAATCTAATTATTGTTAACTTCGACAGTTCATATTGTTTAATTGGTTAAATAATAAAAATAAAAGAAAATCTTCAAAGAAGTTCGATGATTGTGTTTTTATCTCTACTAATCAATAATCAATCTACTGATTGAGGACTAGTCACAGGAGTAGAGACCTGCATGGAACTACCAAATTCGATTCGAACTCCGATGGAGTCAGAGTCGGATTTACTGAAAAAATTTTTCGGAACCGAAATTGTAGCAACCTCTAATGAACTTTTGCTATTTGATACTACAATGACTTTATTTTTCATATTAACAAACAAAAAAAGAAGAATCACCTTTTCGCTATAACATTCGAAAGATCAACCTCATAAAAACGTTATATTATCAATCAAAAACTATTCCAGTATCATCCAAAGTACAATAATTCTCGTCATTATCAACTATCGATTGCTTGATAGAGTCCTGCATCAAGTCGACTAAATCTTATGTTAAAAATTTCGCTTTAGCACAGAAAATGCTTTTAATTGTACGTTTTGTTCTCTGATATTTACTATATGAACTGATACATTTTTAAGGATCAAACGATATCTTATCAAAACCTATGGACATGAAAGAAAGTCGGAATCAACTTCAATTTCGATTTCGACCAGGGGCTTAGCCAGGAATTTTCTGAGGGGAGGGGCTGAACATGGCCAAAGAAATTTTTTCGCTGAGCAGAAATAATGTGTCCGTACTCCTCTCCAAGGAATTTTTCTCCTGAGGGGGAGGCTGAACATGGCCAAAAAAAACTTTTCCGCTGAGCGAAAATAATGTGCTCGTATCCCTCCAGGGAATTTTTCTTCTGAGGGGGGACTAAAGTCTCTCAGCCACCCCTTTTCCTACGCCCCTGATTTCAACTTTATTTCGTATCCATAGGTTTTGATAAGACGTCGTTCGAACCTTGAAAATGCATCGGTTCATACAGTAAATATCAGAGAAAAGCTAGAATTCAAAAAATTTCCTGTGCTAAAGCGAAATTTTTCGCATAAGATTTAGTCGACTTGATATAGGACTCTATTGCTTGGGTATAATACATGTTGAATACTTCCTAGTTATTCTTTTTTTATTTTTACCGGACAACAAATACAAAAGATATTGAAAATTAATCTTTTAATGATTCTTTGATTTTCTTTTATTCCTTTGCTTATTTATCGATTTATACGTGTCCAAAATAAAACAATAAAATACATTAGAAATCGTCTGCTTGAGAGAAAAAAATTTCGAAGTCAAAAAATAGAAATTGTCAGAGTCGGAGTCGGCTTCCGGAATAAAAAGAACCTGACTTCGTAGGTCTCTAGTCACAGGAAAGAAGATGTCGGCAGGTTTTCCTTCCCAAAAATGTCAAACTATTTCCATTCTGATGGAAAACTATGAGAGAAAGAGAATAATAACTCTGATTGTGACAGGTATTCATAGGAAGATACTGAGTTTCTCTCATCCTTGAAAGATAATGATAAATGGTCTACTAGTCTTTTTCAATCGATGTTATTTCCTACTGATAATCAATTATCATCTATGATGAAATTCATTCATTAATTTTAAAAATAAAAAACTAAAAAAAGTGAAATAAATTTGTTTTTAAATATATAAATACCGTTCATCTTTTCGATCAATTTTATTTCCCACAAGAACCATTGGTATTCTAATAAAAGAGAAAATATTTAATTTGAATTTATTTTTGTTTTAAAAACAATATATTTCTAACCGAGTTGTAGGACTTGTTGAAATAATTTTATCTCGAATTTTTGATACCATTTCAAAACTAAAAAAAAAAGAGAATTTTATTAAAATAACAAAAAAAGAAATGTTTGATAAAAACCTTTGTCGATCATCGATAGCATAAATAATAATATAAGCATCACTAGTATCAAAATCACTATGATTTAATGTATATTGATCTGATCCAGCATTATCAACAATAACTAAATCATATTCTTCATCTTCAATAACACATTGATAATGAAGATCTAAAATAAAATAAATAAATAAATTTTTTTTATTTTTTTATTTTTAGTTTTTTCGTTACTTGTTTTTATATTTGGATCATATTCATTATAAAATTGTTTATAAACAAAATGATGAGCAAGTGAAGATTTCCCAACACCTGGAAATCCAAGTAAAGCTATTTGACGATGTCGTCGCATTTCTTGTTTTTTCTTTTTTATTTTATATCTAGAACAAAATATTCAATTATTATTGAAATTAACTAAAACACAAATCAATATATTAGTTTAATAAGATTTTCTTTTGTCGAATAAATGTATGAAAAAGAAAAAAAAAAAAATTTTTTTTTTTGCTTGGTTTTTTTCATAAGAATTTTATAACGAAAAGAAGCAACAAACGGAACGTCGAGATTCAATTAAAATCAATGTATTTATTTATTATAATTCATCACGAAATGAATAACGTTGACGATTTGGTGTTAAACGAATAAAAACTGATTCTGGTGGAGATGATTGATGGGAACCAGATTTTATTATATTATTTGTCGAACTTGAAGAATCATCATTTGAACTAGATGAAGTTTTTGGAATATGTTTTATTTTTGATTCACCATCACTCTAAAATAAAAATAAAAACATTTTTAATTTATCTATTTTACATTAAAACAATATATCTCATTGAAAACAAATTTAAAAACAAAATCATTTTCAGAAAAAAGAACAGATATGAAATTTTAGCATATCGTTATTCGAAAATATTTTCTTCTCTTTTATGAATGGTAGTTTTAGTTATTCCAAAAAAAAAGGTTTGTTAGATTATGTAAATGTCTATTCTGAGAACGTTTTTCTTCTGTTCTTATCAGTGACATTTACAGCTACAAAAAAAAAATTTCTGTCCTGTTTTGGAAATTGTACTATAAGAAATGGAAGAGAAAAAAAGAAACTGTTCTGTTCTATTTCCAAGAATATAATTTACAAAAGAGAACAGAACTTTTTTCTTTCCTTCGACAGGTCATTTACAAGAATTATTTTCAGAGATAAGTTCGTACTCAAACAACTTTTCAACACTTCTTTAAATCATTTTATCTGAATAATTTGCAGTTGATTATTCTCAAATAACAAAACAATTTGTCCATCTATAGAATATTTACGATTTAAATATCTAATTAGATTGTTTTTCAAATAAAATAGAATCGAAAGAAGTTTTTCTTTATTTATGATTGAGGTGAAAAAGTAAATAAATTCTGATGTCGAAGTTTTCTTATCATAAAATGATTATCGATAGCTTCATATAAGTTTAAAAGATCTTCTTTCGTAGGTTGACATCTATTTAGTAGATAATCTTAAATTAGTAGCGGAGGTTGATTATTTACATTAGAAAATATTATCTTTATATTGACTAATGATAGAAACAATTCTCCTATTTTTTTATTCTTCTTCTCTTCTGATATTTCCATCATTCTTCAATTAATATCATTATAATAAAATTTCGATAACAGCTGTTTCTCATGACATCTGATGATAATATTAGATCAAATTCTCCTTTTTTTCTCTTTTGTCAGTGTTGCTTTTCTTTTGTCTTCTACTAACATCCACATCATTCTTACACACACAAAGACAAGAACACGAACAAGAATATACATACAAATTAAATAACATCATCTTATATTACTTTCATACATTAAAAGAAACACTTTTTATAGAAATTTTATTATTATTATATTATTAAAAGAATAATAAAATATCATAGGAAAAAAAAATGAGAATTGATTTTGATATCCATTGCATATAAACATTAATGTTGCCTTAAGTTTTCTATAGGGGAAAAAGAACGACCTTCACTACTATTTTTTATTGGATTGCCCTAAGAACTTTCCTTAATTGAAAGTTAAATTAGATATTTAGTTTCATTATTCATCCCTACAGGATCAAAATCATCCTTTTACTTTTTTAAATGAAGAATTTTTCTCTACGAACAATAGAATTTCTCCATTTAATAGATTCTCATTCAGTTCATTAGGACTGATACTTTTGATGAAAACCCTAAAAAAAAAGAGTTTATCCCTTGAGATCTTTCTTCTCGAGTTACAATCATTTTTAATCAATTTTCAATATATTCCAACATAATACGATAGAACATCGCAATAATAGATTCGATAGGATTTATTATATTCGAAAATTTTCAGCTCACCGAGATGAATTTTTCTTAAAACATCGAATACCTAATAAAACAGGTTAGTTTCAAAGTTAAATGTGTTTTTTTCTATATGTATTATCTCCTTAGATAAAAATGTCTCTTTGAGTTCGAAACTTACAGGATATAGTAAGTACTATGAGAACCATTTGTTATTCAGCTAAATTTCATACGAAAAGTTTTTATTAGAAGTCTTTTCATAGCATTCAATAACATCCTAACAATTCATAAAAATCGAAAAATAAAAACTTTTTCCATTGAATTGGAATTTAATGAAGATATTGATTAAACTCCCTCCCACAATAGAAACCTTCCCCCCCCCCCCTATCCACTGTTCAAAGTTTTTCGAGGAATCTTCTATTATGGGATGGCCTATTAATATGACTTTCATAGAGAAATTTTCAAAAGTATATTATCGAATCATTGTTTCAACCATCTTGACTATCTATTTATAATAACTTCAAATAATCTTAAAACACTCTGTGAAATATAATATAAATATATGAAAAAAGTCATATAGAAATATAGATAATTAGACTAGTTCTTCCAAAATAAGTTTTATGTTATGGGTGTTGGTGGATCGGTGTGGACGTTTATCTACTTTTCGCCTACACCCATAGCCACCCACATCCACACCTAAGTTTTCCTTATCGTTGGAACCATCGGCAAGCAATATGTGACCTGTTTTCTATCAGACTTTCTCACGTGCAGAATGCTTGCCAATGTAAACTATCAATGATGAGAGGAAGACTGACTTTGAGAAAACTGTTGAATGTAATACAAGCCCTGAACTTCTAATATATGTTTGATATGAACCATTCTCTGGAGGGTTCTCTATTAGGGTGGGGAGTTTAGTAAAAGAGTCATTCAATAAAGGATGTCCTTTAAATAATTTGTCAAGACGTAAGGATAATATTAAAATAAAGAAGTCTAATATATAATATCTATTTTAAAAAAACTTACAACAACGGATGGTATTGTTGTTGGTGGTGTTTGTTGTGTTGCTGGTGGTGGATTATGAAAATCTTTATGAAGTTTACCTGAATGAAGATCTTTAACAAATTCTAATAATTTTCCATCGACTCTAACAAAACGAAAAAAAGAAAAATGTTTTTGTTTATATTTTTGTTAAATAAAATGATTACGATATCTGTTGAAAATCCGGAAAAAGAAACATATGTTTAAAGCTATCAATTGCTAATAAAGGTAAATCATTTAAACTTTTCCCTAAATGTTGAAGTGGATGAATAAATTGAGCACCATCAGCATGTAAACAATTTATATTTGCTGAAAATTAAAAAAAGAAAAAAGAAAAAAATTTCTTATTTTTTAATAAAATAATTTTTGTTTTATTTGTTTGTCTTACATCTTTCATCAAGAAGTTGTTTAGCAACTTCACGTTCAAATAGCGCAACAGATTGATGATCATCAACTTTATGAAATAAAATTAAAAATGGTAAACCTTCATCAGTTAATTCTTCAGCATTTGCAAATGTTATTTCACGAACTAATGGAACACATTTATCACGAGACCATGTTGTTAATGATTCTTGTTCATTTATTAAACCTATATAATAACTGTCTTTTTCATTTAATAATAATGATGATGGACGATAATAAATAACATCTGATAATGGACGTTCAGTTTTAAATGCATCTCTAAAACAATATTTTATTCAAGATTAATCAAATATTCAATAAAAACACATACAAAAAAAAATTTATTTTATTTCTATGAAATGATTATTCTCGATGTTAATTTAGCACAGACTACCAATGCATCAACTCCATTCAATTTATTTGAAATCACGACCGTTTTCTGTGCATGTTTTTTTTTTATTCTTTCGAACCATTGTGCTTTTATTAATAATTAGAGTTATATCATCTGCGACTTTTTGTTAATCAAGATCTTATTTAATAAAATAATAGATTTATCAAGGTTGGAGATGCTTTTTATTTTATATTGATTATCATACGATTAACCAAAACAAATAAATGAAAGATTTATTCTCATCTCACTAACCTTACTTATGTAAAAATTCTCTGTTCGTTGAATAGTGCTGAAAAGACTCTGATGACAATGATTGACGCATGAATTAATTTTCATCAATATAAATGTTAATGTGTAAAAGAGTATATCTATAAAAAGTCATGCCATTCTGACCTAGTTCAATCGAGGGTTAGATATTTGTTTTATGACATTATTTATAAATGAACTCAACTAGCAGATTTGAATATCTTTTAACATGATATATTCTATTTCATGAGAAAATTTTTATTATATTATTATTCATAGAGATTATTAATTATTGGAGAATAAAAAAAACATGATATCTATATAAATAATAATTTTGAAGTGTGACAGTAAAAATGTTGATGTGATGCATAGTGAATCTAAATCTATGAGAGAATATGTCTTCGAGCAAGTAGTTTTAGAAAATAATTGATCTATAAGAAATTTTATTGACTTAGGAATTGAAATAAATAAATAAATAACTTCTATAAATAAAAGGCTAAGTTTCATACGCAAGTTCTGTCATTTATGCATTAATATAAACTATCGAAACAGCTTGTTCTTTTATTTAACTATACAATCGATTAGTTTTTTTTTCCTTCAATGAAAACTGATTCTATTAATAAATATTAATTCTTTTTTCTATGTTTAATAAATCGATTTCTCTTTGCTGTTATTCGAATATCTGAATGAAAGAGAGAGAATTCAACTTTTCCTTTGTTTTTTTTTGATAGTAGGCGAAAATTTATCATTTTCAAGGTAGATTAGACATCTGTGAACTTGTGTAGAATTTAAAAAAAAGTTGATTCAATATATGATAAAACTTACTTATTTGTTGATGCAACAAAATGACATTCATCTCTAAGAAGACTTGCTACTTTTGAGAATGTTTTATAATTTGGAGAATTTTCATCATCAAAATGTCCAATAATATAACGTTTTTTTGTATCTAATGTATATAAATCACTTGGTGTTGATAATTTTATTATTGATGATTCAAGTTGTTTACGAATAAAATCAAGAAAAGCATCAACTTGTCTAAATAAAAATAAATTTATTTTATATAGAAAAAAAAAAAAAAAAAAAAAGCTAAACCTTGCTCCACGATATTCTCGTTTAGTCATAAGACCATGTCGAAATAATTTTAATGTTGGATATTTATTAACATGATATTTGGTTGCAATTGCAGTATCAGCATCACAATCAACTTTTCCAATAGCAATAAGACCATGTTGCTTAAATAAAATAAAGATTTGGTTTTTTTTTAGAAATAAATCTCATCTTTTTTCTTTCAAAAAATTCATACAGGAAATTCTTTGGCAACTTTGTCAGCTAATTCATTAAATATTGGATCAAGCATTTGACTAAATCGACACCAATTTGCATAAAAATTAAGAAAAACAACATCATATGATGCTAAAATAACTCAATTTATGTAAATAAAAAACAAATTAATTAATTAATTAACTTACAAAGAATTGTATCAATATTACTAGTTGTTATTTGTATAGCACCACCATTTACATAAATAAAACAGTAACATACCTAAAAGATAATTATTTTCGTTTTTTTTTTTTTTATTGAAATAAAAATTATAATTTTTCATACAAAAAGAATAATTGATATTATTTGAAGTTTCGACATTCCGATTTTGATTTAATTTAGTAAATAATAATGAGTATTTCTATAGTCTAAAATAATTATCTATTTAAATATAATGTCGAATCAGTGACTGTTGCGTGCTAACACAAAGAAAAACAACGTTGGCAAAATCCATCATCCAATAAATACCTTAGCGCTAATATCAATCACGAATTTTTACTTTTTTTTCTTTTATATTTATATATTTTCAATTTTTTTTTTAGTTTTTATAAAATTATTTTATTTTTTTTTTGTTTTATCAAATAAATTCATCGTGCATTAATGTTTTATTTATCAGATAACAAAATATATATATCAATGTCACATGAGAATATGACAATTAGTCAGTCTAGATTATTTGTTCTATTGAACAAATATTCAATATTAAAAATAAAATTCTAGTCATTTATCAATCAATCAATAATGAACAATGAAAAGTATGGATCTATTTATTATTTTGCAAAAATAAAGAAAAAAAAAGAAAAATAATTTCTATTTGTTTTTTTTTTTTGATATAGTATAATTCAGTCAATACAAAATGATAGTGAATATGAATCTGATGTTTCATCAATAACTGATTATTCAACAACAAATAAGAATGACTCAGAATTAAGTTGTGAATATTTAGTAAAACGTATTGATTCATTAACACAAGAAAATCGTGTTCTTCAAATTGAAGTTCAAACATTTAAGTTACGTTTAAAAGGTTCACAACAAGAAATCAAACAATTAAAACAGTCTGTTTAATAGTTCTTTTTTTTCTTGTTTAAATATAAAAAAACAAAATTTATTTTTTTATTTTTTTAATTTAAAGTTCAAGTATTAATATGCAAGTTAAAGCTGAACAAGAAGAAGAATTTATTTCAAATACACTTTTTAAAAAAATCGAAGAATTAAAAAAGGAAAAAGAAACTTTAGCAAATAATTATGAACGTGAAGAAGAATTTTTAACAAATGATTTAACAAGAAAATTACAACAAATTAGAGAAGAAAAAAATACTTTAGAAAAATCCTTAGAACAAGAACAAGCTTTACAAATAAATCAATTAATGAAAAGAATTCATCGTTTAGAAGCTGAAATTACTAATAAACATACTACTCTTGTAAATTCATTTAGTTTTTTTTTTCTCTAGTCTTTTTTATTTTATTTTTTTCTTCTTTAGGAACAATTAAGAAATGAAAAAATTGAATTAGAAAATACACTTGAAAAAGAACAAGAATATTTAGTTAATCATTTATGGAAAAGAATGGAAAAATTAGAAGCTGATAAAAAATCACTTCAATTAAAACTTCAACAACCTCATTTACATGCTACAGTAAGAATTTATTTATTCTTCAATTTAATATTCATTTTCGATAAATTCTATATCATCTATCATGTTCGTTCCAATTAATTATCATCGATATATTGTGCTATTCGCAACAATCGACATATTTAAATAATAGTTTGCACATTAGAAAACAACTATCGATATAACGAACTAGAATAAACAATCATTTAAATATCAAATTAGCACTAGGTTTTTCTCACTACTAGTAAACATCCTTGGTATAATGTACATTATATCGAACAGTCTACCAATGATTTACCATCAGTTTTTGCCTACAAGACAGAGAGATATCTATAAGATATTTCTACAATGAACAGTGATTAATAAATAGAAAACAAAAAAAAAAAAGTATTATTTTCTCAGAAAAATAAAAATTTGTTTATCTATTTGGTCTCATCTTCTTCTTAATGAACTCGATTGCGGTAATATTATTTTACACGAACAGAAAAATTCTGGAAAAATCTGCTTTTTTTTTATCTCGTGGGATAAAATATTTCTCGCATGGGGAATTTCTTTTTACAAAAAAAGCACGTTTTTTATTAATTTACCAAAAGGATTATATCAGATAATTTTGATAAATTCCATCAGTATTTAATAATACCAAGCACTGAAACATTTATTTTATCATTATTTTTTCTTTCTCTACAATCGATGAAATAAAAAAGTAAAAAAATATTTGTGAAGAAATTTCTTTGATGATGACATAAATTAACATGAAACATTGGTTTCTATGAAACCTTTTGTTATATCGAATTCAATGATCTTTCATCACAGTTCATATAGATTTTAACTTGAATGTTGAAATCTTTGTTATCAATCGTTTTTAACGGAATAGATTTGATTATTTATTTGAATAAGATTTTATTGTTACATTTGATAAACGAACAATTGAATCCATTTCAAGAAAAATCAAAAATATTCTCATCACTATCATGATCAGTTCTTCTCTCGATTTATTTCAAAGAGAATTTTATTTTCTATATTCTCATTATAGAAAATAATATTTTCTCATCGAAATAAATCATTCAATTCATTAGAAACATCTGATACTTCGAAAAATGAGAAATAACTGCACATTAACATATTATGTGACTTAATTGAAATAAAAGTGAAAATATTTAGTTTAATTGAAAAAAAAAAAGTAAAACATATAAATTCTATTTTAGCATAGTGATCCATCGTCATCATCAACGAATTTAACTAGTAATGAAAAATTAACTAGTGATTCGAATTCATTAGTTGAATCAAATTCAATTAATGATAATATTTTATCAAATAATGATTATGGTCAACAATTAAAAGAAGAAGTTGAAAAACTTCGTCGAGAATTAATTATTCAACGAGAAATACATAAAAAAAAGATTGATCAACTTATTTTGGATGAACAAAAAGCTAAAAATGAAAATTTACGTTTACAAAGAAAATTACAAGTTGAAGTTGATCGTCGAGAAGAACTTTATAAACAATTAAGTGAAAGTGAATCATCACTTGAAATGGATGAAGAACGAGCTTTAAATCAAAAATTTAAATTATTTTCAAAACATGAAAAACAAACAACAAGTTCATCATCATCATCTCCTCGATATGATTTAGTTCGTTCAAGAACTGCATCTAGTCCATCATTTATTATTAATCAAAATTTAGAACATCTACAAACAAGACGATTAACATCAAATTGTTTAGAATCTAATAATCATATCGAATAGAATGTCAAAACTTATTTATTTATTTATTTATTTATTTTTTCTATTGTATATTTTTATCATAATATTATCTTATATTTTATTTTATTTTCATGAAAATTATAACTAACTTAAATAAAATTATTATTATCCTTTAATTATTTGTTTTTTCAAATCATTTTTAGAAAATATCACATTTATCTATATCTGACATTAAAGATAAATATTTGTTTTCACTTAGATTTTATAATGTTGTTTTAGTTTCCTATTTCTATGATATTTACATGCTTAAAAAATACATAAATATATATTATCGATGGAAATCAATTTTATAACAAAACAAGTCAATATTATTCCCTCTAGTTTTTTCAAATCCTTTTTTTTTCTTCATGTTACAGATTTGATTATTTTTTTCATCTTGAGATTGAGTTAATAGTCTTTATATCAATTATTAGAACAAAAAAGAAAGTTTTTGACAAAGCAGAATAATATTTAGTTATTATTTATTTTTTATATGTCGAGAGAAATTATTGAGACATGCTTCTTCACTCATTTCTACAATGAACATTTTACTGTTAATATGTTTTTTACAAACAAGCGAATTCAATATTGAAGCCTTTCGAGATGAGAAATCTATATATAGGCAACGATCTTGGATTGGTTCGTAAATTACTTGCGTATATCTTATATTGTACTTTTATGACCTACACACGAGTACAGGTCATGAATATGTCATCTCCTATCCGGTATGTCACTACTATCGATATTGTGCCTTCATTCATATTTTTTCCAATAAATATATTATTGGAGTATTTGAAAATTTTCATTTTCTTCGATAGTGACCCCGTCTCCAAGAGGTTAAACTGACTAGATGTTTTTTACAAATTTTTATATAATCTACTCAACAAACCCAAGGGTAAAATAGCGGAATTTAATCAAATTTTATTGAATTCAAGGAAATCTTGAATTCTACAGAATTTTGTAACATATCATAGGGAGTTTATGGGATTCCATGATTCCTTTATTCACCCATTGGACAAACCTTTTTGTATGAGAATGTTTTTTTTTTTATTCTGATATTATTTTTATCGATAATTTCTTATTTGTATTGGTGATATTTTTTATGTTAATAATTCTTTTGAAAAGTTTGACAATGAAAAAGTAGTATACCATATTTGTACTAATTATAATTATAAAGCATAGGAATGCTGCTAGATTATCAAACAAATTGATTATAGACTATAATGAAAAGAATAAGATTTTTATTATATCAATGACAAGATTCTATGCAGTTTAAAGATTCTCTCTACCGAGAATACTTATCTGATTGATATGATCATATCAATTAAACAAGAATTTTATATTGAACATATCGAAAAAAAAAAATCTTGATCGATTTTTCTGCATAAAAACAATCTGAAAAGAATAGAGACAAGAATGTTGACTTGTATATAGATATATTGTTTCTTTCTTATAATTGATTCAATATTTAATAGTTTTGTCGTTTGAAAAATTCTAAATCTTTGTCAAAAGTTTTTAATATTTATAAACTAACTTCAATTATTTATAATTAATAGATAGAAATGAAGTTTGAAAATAAATATATATAATCATATAGTCAACATCATTATACATATTGTTTATTATACAAAATATATATTTGAAGATGAAAGTATTAACGAAAATATTGAAAAGCAAGGAAGCAATCTTAATTAACATACATGTGTTCGCCAGATAGATGGTATACTACGGTAATCATTAGAACTATCAACATCCTCATAGATTTTGTCTTGTGTGAATCGTAGGTTTTTCTTTTTCTTTAATTAACTTAAAAATTTAATATTGCCGAGATTCATATCGTGAAAACATTATTCCAATAAAAGACTTGTCCTAATAATAATAAACAAGATTTATCAACATGAAAAACTGAATGTATTGTATCTAGTTGAAATATTCTTTTCGATCCAAAAATTCGAATACTATTGTCTAGTAGATTTATCCTAACAAATCATATTGACATATGCTGAAGTTTTTCTTCGGTACTACTGGTCGATGAAGACCATCATTGAAGACAAAATTTGATCACATTTATGTTAGAAGATATTTACTCTTAAAAGACAGTGTTTCAATTCTATGATATCAATTGAAATATTTCAACAATGATAAGATCACCAATTGTATTCTAGTCTATGAGAATAATAAAAGATTGAATATCGATAGAGAATTCTGAGTAGCAAATCTATTATGAATATCTAAACGTTATTACTTAGCATCACTATTAACAACTTTCTTGTTTTCCTATTTTTAGACAAGTCTATTATAATTTCTTTTTTAAAATTCTAAATAAAAATTCTTTTAGATGTGTGATATATTGTTAATTGAAGCATTTTATGATGGTTCCCATCGTTCATTAATAGATCTTCTTCATCGAGTATTATCTCCACGTTCAATGTTAATAACATTACCAGGTACAAAATGGCCATGGCGTGCTCGATGTTCATCATTAATTTTATCAGAAATAATACCAAAAAATGAAAATTCTTTTAAATATTTATTTAGTTCATCTATTGTTAATTTAAGTGAATTAATATCTCTTCGTATTGATCTTCGTTCATTAAAAACAATAATTTATTTTCATGAAAATGATTTAGCTTATCCAAAACAAAATGAAAAACAAGAACAAAGAGATTTTCAATATGGTTATAATCAAATATTAACAGCATTAGTTGCTGATATTTGTTTATTTAATTCTTTTTATAATTTAAATACATTTATTGATAAACTTGGACCTTTTCTTAATCGAATTCCATCACCAAAAGCAAATATTCAACAAATTCGAGAGACAATTCTAAATAAATCTCAAGTATTTTATTATCCATTAGATAAAACAATATTACCAATTAAGGTTAATTATTTTATTTGATTAAAATTAAATAGACAACGTAAAAAAAGAAATATTTTTTGTTTTTGAAGATAAATAATGATAAAACAGGTCCATTATGTATTATTTGGCCACATCGTTGGGAACATGATAAAGATCCTGAAACATTTTTTTCTGTTATTCTTGAACTTTATGAAACATATTCATTAGAATTTTCTTTAATTATTCTTGGTCAATCATATGGTGAACAACCATCGATATTTTCTGAAATTTTATCTAAATTACCATCGAATTATATTCGTCATTGGGGTTTTATACAATCGAAAACTGAATATGAACAATTATTAATGGAAGGTGATGTTGTTGTATCAACAGCTCAACATGAATTTTTTGGTGTTGCTATGTTAGAAGCATGTAGAGTTGGATGTATTCCTATTGTACCTGATCGATTAGTTTATACAGAACTTTATCCTAATGAACAACATCGATATAGAACTAAAACACAATTACTTAATAAATTAAAAGAATATTGTCAAAAACCAGATTATCTTAGGAATAAAATAATAAAACAAGATACATCACAATTTGAATGGGACAATAACGAATTTATTAGACAACAATATTTACAATTATTTCAAAATGAATCATTAAATAGTAACGTCAATATATCAGATTAAATCAAAACATTTTATGTATAACAAAAGAAAATTTCGAATTCATTCATAATTTTGCTAAGACAAAAAAAAACAAATCATTTTTTGTTTTCTTATAAAATGAGAAAATAAAATTTCTATTTCGATCAGTTTGTGAAAATAGGAAACTCCAATATTTTACAAAGGTTGGCCTGTTTTTCTATAGGTTACTCTAAGTTTCGTCTAGTCCATATTAAGATATTTTATATGTCCAGGTCAATTTAAGATTCGCCTAGGTCAAACTAGAATAAGTTTGTCCAATTACACACCTGATTTCTAGTATAATGATGAGCTATGTTATAAGTAGACAAACATTGGAGGAGATGATGAACGAGAGTTAGACATTGTGAACCAAATCTAGACTGATGCTCAAATAAAAGCAATAGAATTGCATTTGCTCATGAAATTATCGATGAATGATAGACAACGAATATTTTGGCTGGTTCATCTGCTATACCTCAAGAACTCCTCATGTAGAATTGATCGATTTTTATGAGATGTCAGTAAACACTGCGTTCAAATACTACATTCGAGCCATTATCAATGATATCTGTTGTTTAGGTAAAGGAGGATGTAATAACAGCCATTGTGCTTGTAAAAATAATCAAGTTTTCTGCTCGACAAATTGTCATAAAAACATTATTTGCCTGAGAAATATGCAAGAGTAAAGAAATTTATTGTCTTTTTAGTTAACATTCACGTTATTTTTCCCTATGTTATGCGATTGACTTAATGAAGGTCAGTTGTAGTTTGAGTTACTAATCATTATATCCTAGTGTGTCCTAGGCGAATCTTCGATTGTCTTACGACATATACAACTGTCAAATGTTGTTCGACTTCATATGATGACGACGAGTAGTTATCTATCAGACTAAGAATCACTTCAAAAGATTCGAATCCATACTTTACTCACAAAGAGGTATGGCTATTTTAATAATACTTTTATTGCAACTAAGGCATTTTCAAAAATTAAAACAAAGAATTTCGAGTTTGAAATTTTACTTATAGGCAGATTTAATAGTCATTAGATAGTCTTCAGAGTTTCAAAGAAAATGAATATATCTTTATCGAGATATTCAATTTCGAAAAAACAACAGCAGTTTACCATAGAATGACACAAGTAATCGAGTCTGCTTGAAAATTGAATACTTCGATAAAGACGTGTTCATTTTCGTTGAAACTTTAAGGACTATCTAATAACTACTTAGGTCAGTCCAAAAGTAGTGAGAGTGACGCTTTAATGTCTTATAGTAAGCTGAAAGAGAATTTCTTTTCGTATGAAATGATAGAGAAAAAAATGCTCTATCTTTCTATGCTATTTGATCATACTTTAGTTAATATTATGATAGAAAAGTTTTCATAAGATTCGTTTTGGTATTATGTGTCTTGATTACAACACTACATATAATCATCGATATGGGCTCACTTCTTAATTTTTTTCTTTTTTCTGCTTCTTTCTTTCTCTTATATCTTTCTTTATTATCTTTTCTATTCTCTAACATCTTTCTGTGTGTATCAATACACATGCTTTTTTTCCTGGCTGTAAAGAAGCTTTGTTCAGTAACGTGTTTGTCATAAAGTTTGTGATATCGTGACTTAGTAGTCACGTATCTGTCTATGTGATTGTCCATTGTCCAGTGTCACATAGACATTCTAAAACTTTCTATTACACTCTTATCCTTTCGGTCACATCAAGGTGCTCTTCCACAATGTTCTGGAATGTTCCATTTCCGATACTATATATATCCCTCCTTGTCGCTGTATCTCTCAGTGGTTCTATCTTCTACTTCTCAGTCAGTTACTCTGTACAGTCAGATTTGTTAGTTATTCACACGTGAACAAACAAGCTCTTCTAAATCCTGATTTCTGCTCGACATCGAACTCAGCTTGAAGACGTGACAAAGTTGAAGAAATGTAGTCAGGTTTAGCCTTAGAATCGCTGATTTCTGTTACAGATAGATAAGGAAAATTATCGTTTCTACATCACAGTGCGTACTGCACTTGGTAATTCATCAACCATTATTCATGATGAATTAACTACATTCTTCGGCGATGAAGCTCCATCCTACGCGACTGTCGCAAGATGAACTCAATGGTTCCGCGAAGGTCGAGAAGAGATCAAAGATGAAGCACGATCAGGAAGACCAGCGACCGAGACCACTGATGAAAATATCGAACAAATTCCCGACGCTATTGATGACGGCCCTTATGTGACAATCGATGAGCTGCAAGAAAATACTGGTCTGAGCCATGGAACTATTCACAGAATAATCTCCGATCATTTAAAACTCAAAAAGCTTACCGCTCGATATATACCCAAACACCTAACCGCTTCCTGACCGGCTGAACGAGTTCGAATATGTAAAGAAAATTTAGCAAAATTCGAACAAGGAACGTGCATATTATGCGATGTGGTGACGGAGGAGGTTTGGTGGGTGTAGATGTGTGTGTGTAGCCGTCTACTAGTCAATTGACTGTAGTACTTTCAAAGTCTTATGAAAACAAGATTTACACCATACCATCCGACGCATCTTAAAAAGCTCTACAACATAATATATTTGGTTTTTCATTTTTGAACAGGTTACCCTATCCGACAAGTTCCTTTAAACACCGACCTTAGAACTTTTAGTCAACTGTAAGTATTAACTTATGAACTTTCATATTGCATAGACATGATTCTTTTGATAGATAGAAATCAACAAAATCGTTTATTTATTTATGATTGTTTTTTTTTATATTGATATTTCAATTGTATTTTACTAACTTTAAAGAAAATGAGAAAAACAAAATAATCGAAATCTGTTACGTGATATCAAAACAAAAATTTGATACAAAGAATACTAACTAACAATCATCCATTAAAAAACAGAGCATAGATAAAATAAATATCGAAAATAAAAAGAAGAGAAAATTATCTTCTTTTGTATTAAAAGTATTTTTAATAGAGTTAAACTGGTATAGTATAGGCGGCATTTGTTAAGCGAGCAAGTGTAGCATTTGATATATCAGGTTGTCTTCGAAGTCTTACTGCTCGTGATCGAAATTGAGAACTAACTGAATTTCTGTCATATCGTCTTGGAATACGATAATTAGGATAGTTTATTTCCGTTGTTGTCGTTGTAGGCGTTTTCTTCTCAGTGGGCATTATTTCCCATCTTTCACCATGGACTTAAATTAACAAAAAGAATGTTTCTTTCAATGAAAAAAAACAGTAAGTTCATTTTTACCTGCCCAATCGAGACCAGCAATTTCATCTTGAATTGGAATACGAATACCGATTGTCCAATGTAACGGTAATAAAATCCCAATTGTACACGCACTACTAAAACCTAATAAGAAAGTATATAAAACTTTATAAAAAAAAAAAAACATAATAAAATCGTAGCAAACCAATTGCAGTAAGGATTCCAGCTAGTTGATACCACATTTGAATTGGATTACCATAGAAAGCACCATCGGCACCATTTATTGTATTCATTGCTCGTTCACTAAATAATCCTGTCAAGAATGCGCCTATGATACCACCTAAAAAAAAGAAAATTTAAAAAACCTAAGTACATCTAGATAGTTTACCTCCACCATGCATAACACCAACATCGAGTGTGTCATCTATTCCAATATGATGTTTATAAATAAGAGCAATATAAATAATTACTGTTGCTATTATTCCGATAAGAAGAGCCCAACCAGGCTGAACAAAACCAGACGCTGGTGTTACTGCGACCAAACCAATTAAGGGACCACAACAAGCACCTGATATTGATACTCGACCACGAATAAGATCTAATATGACCCAGGTTACCAAGCCCGAAGCTGCAGCTGCATTTGTATTTACCAAAGCAAGTGCTGCTAAACCACTAAACAAAAAAAAAGAATAATGATGGCTACATAGTTTCATGTAAACTTGAATTACTTAGCTGCAATAGCTGAACCAGCATTGAAACCAAGCCAGCCAACCCATAAAAGACCAGTACCTAATACTGTTAATGGAAGATTATGAGCAGTGCTCTTTTGCTCATGATAATTATGCCGTCTTCCAATGATTGCTGCTGCAACGATACCCGAAACACCCGATAGAATATGAACAACAGTTCCGCCAGCAAAATCTAATGTTCCTAAATTTTTTAACCAACCATTTGAACCCCAAACCCAATGAGCCATTGGATCATAACATACTGTAGTCCAAACGAAAATAAATATCATATAAGGGATCAATCGAACTCTTCCGACAATTGATCCTGATAAATATTTTCATATTTATTGATTACAAAGAAGACAAAAAAATAGGTTTTGACTAACCAGATATAATTGCAGCTGTAACAATAGCAAATGTACCTTGATATGCAGCATAGGTTAAAAGCGGAAAAGTTGGACAATAAATTGGATCATGTCGATCACCATTAAAACGTAAAGCAGCGTCAGAAAATGATCCAAATCCAACACTAACTGGATCACCAAATGCAAATGAAAAGCCAAATAATACCCATTGGACAAAAATAACTCCCATGCATAGAAATGATAAAAACAGTTGACTTAGGAGGTTTTTTCTATGAACTAAACCAGCATAGAAAATTGCCAAAGCTGGAGTCATCATTAAAACTAATGCTGTTGATGCCAGTATCCACGCATGATCGCCAGTGTCGAGTGGAGAAGTATCAGTGTTAGACATAGTGAATTTCTATGCTCTAAAATGCAAATAAAAAAACCAAGTATCTAGTTATGCGATCGAAGATTGAATGAAAGTAATCAATCGTAGAAATACATCATGATAGTGTTTGGGTGAAACAAGATTGAAAGACTCATTCTGTCAATGTCTGACACTTTGTTTGTTTAAAAAAGCAAGTTATGACAAGTAAATAAAAGCTTTAGCATCATTAGATTCAATGAGATTCCATCAAATATAAAGCGAAACACATGTATAACTATTACTGATTCACTGCATGCATCAACATTCATGTGTTTCGTTACTTCATTGACTTGAAAAA